CCATGTTGCTGTTTATGGAAAGTGGTCACCCACATGGGAAGGTCCTTTTCTGATCAAGCAAGTCCTTGGAATGGGGGCACACAGGTTGCAGGATCAAGATAGAGAGGTCCATGCTGCACCAATTAATGGGAAATGGTTGAAAAAGTTCTATCCAACTATTTGGGATTCACAGGTAGTACAAATAGATCCCAGAATTGAAGAAGGGATAGACAGAACTATTGTCTAGCTTTGAATAGCTAAATATATACATATGGTTCATTTTTGTTTTATTTTCTGTCCATCTAATATGTATGAATATGGAATAGATGCAAGTTGGTTGTAAGACCCGTGTCTTGGGGAAACAAGAACGGTGAGCAATCCCACATCGCTCGAGGAGGGGAAGGTGAAGTGCTTTATATGTGTGGGCACTTCTATTTCTAGCAAGAGGCATTTTGAGCAAGATAGCATTAGCTTGAGCCCAAGAACAAAATTGTGAGGGGGAGGCCCAAAGCGGACAATACATTGCTAGGGGAGTCGGGTCATAACAAATGGTATCAGAGTTGGACCCCGACTGGAAGTGTGCCAGTGAGAACTCTAGGCCCTAAGGGGGGTGGATTGTAAGACCCATGTCTTGAGAAAACAAGAACGGTGAGCAATCCCACATCGGGGAGGGAAAGGTGAAGTGCTTTATATGTGTTGGCACTTCTTTTCCTAGCAAGAGGCCTTTTGGGCAAGATAACATTAGCTTGAGCCCAAGAACAAAACCACGAGGGGGGAGGCCCAAAGCAGACAATATCTTGCAAAGGGAGTCGAGTCATGACATTGGCAGAAATAAATATAACCTTTTTCATTCATTTTTTGTCATTAATAAATGACTAAGTTTTATTACAAAATAGATACTCTCTAAAGGCCTAGTTTTTTTTAGAGTATCCTGCAATCCAGCCTTCTTGATGAAGATTTCCTTTTGCAGAAGCACACCTTGATGAATGGAGGCCTCTGCAATATCCAGTGTAGGTTTTGAAGCTGAGACCAGGCTCTGCACAAGATAGGTGGCCTTGGTTTTTGCACCCAGTCCAGCTCCGAGATCCTTCTGCCTCTCCCTCAGCACAACTAGTTGCTTCTAAAGATCTTCAATATGCTTCTCCAGCTTGTCGGTAGCAGACTTGATCTCTTTGTAATCTGTAACCATTGAATCCAGCTCTAACGTTTGCTTCTGATAGTCCACCAAGTTGGCTTCATGCGTAGCCTTGCAGAATTCAGAAATATTGAATGAGGGTTTGAGATCTTCATATCAATTATGAAGATTGACTACATCTCTAGCCAAGCCTAGACTGACCTCAAGGATAGGTCGAGGAGCCATGTTCTCCCTGTGCATCAGGTACAGATCTTTCATCAGCTGATCGATGACTTCTTTGTTCTCGTCCAAATCCAGCTTAGTCGACTGCTAGATTTTTATTCTGCCCATCGCCTCATCCACTGCTTTGGACTTGGCCTTGGTTGAGGTTTCTCCTAGTTTCTCAATTTTCAGCAGCTGAGCTTCCAAGTCCATAGCTTCAAATTTTGCCAATTTTGGATCAGCGTGGGAGGCAGTTTCTGATGAGCTCGGGACAGAACGAAGGGGCATTTGCAGAGAATAATACAATTAGTTCTGTTTCAAATTGAGACCAAGACCATAGGCTTGAGAGGGCTGGTCACTACCGCCAGCTCTTCGGCAGTTCTATCTTTCTCAACCTGGAAAGGCAGAAACAATGGTTAATGACTGTACAAAGGCCAGATAGAATTGAGAAAAGAAGAGAGAAATTACCTAAGGTGGCGGAACAACATCGAAGTTTTCTGCCTCCGCATCATCGAATAGGGCCAATTCTGAGCGCGTGAGTTCTCCTCCTTGAGCTGCTTGTTACTTCTTGGCCAGTTCGATGCTCTCTGCTATCACTTCAGCAGGAATCTCCTCCTACAAAAGAACAAAATTCAGATCAAGAGGGTTTCAACACAAATATAGGCCAGTTCTGTTTTTAGTGGCTTCTTTGTCTTTATCAACAGCATCAAAAGCTTCTTGGAGTTCTTCATCCGTCTCCGTGGTGATTGTGGGAGCAATTGCAGGTTCTTCCACTAACTTGGTCTCCCCAACAACCCCTATTCTAAGCCTCTTCATCTTGGTAGGAGAAAGAGAAGGGCTTTCAACTACAAAAATACAACGACAGAGTCAATTTTCAACTCAGAACTGACCAGAAAGAATGACGGAATGGGTTATTTCACAAGATTTACTTGGAGGTTTAGGCTGGACAACACTGTCTTGGGCCTGAGTAGTATCTTTTCTCTTATTCTTTCTAGTGGAGGGGGTTGCTTAAGAGGTTTTCTCCTCTGCCAGAACTTCGTATTCAGCATCTTCCTCCCCAAGATCTACTTCTAGATCCCCAACATTCACTACACAAAGGACAGAAGTTAGAGAACTTAACCCTACTGGAATTGACAAGAGAATAGGGTTCAAAATTTACCAATCACTTGTCCAGCTTGGACAGCCTGCCCACTTAGGTTGCTTTCCACAGAAGGATCTGAAACAATACAGACAAAACAGAGTGATATCATCTCCCAAAGTACCAAAACTCAAAATGAAAAAGAGGAACTGGCAGTTTACCTTCAATCACTTGGGGATTTATACCCTAAAGCATCTGCATGATGAATTTCTAGGCATCCGGTTCTGCATGGACAATTCCAGCATCCCAATTAGCAAAGAGCACCTTCACAGCAGTGCTTGCATTAGACAGACTAGCAAATCTGGCCTTCGACCAAGCGTCAAAGTCGCCAGAACTGCAGGAATTCGGCTCCCAGGATGGATAGAGAGCATCCACACTGTTGTTTATCTTGTTTATTGCACATCTGCAATTCTTGTGCACCTCTAGATCATCTGCATCTCTCCAGGAGGTACACCTATTGCAACCTTTGTAAAATTTCAGTGGGATCAGCTGGGGGAAACAAATTGTGTAGCATAGAAGTTTGGTTGATAGACTTCTCCACCCAGATGAGAGTTGGGAAGCTTACCCCCACCAAAGGGCAGGTCCCGGGTCAGCATGACACTGATGAACTTCTTCCTGAAGTCAATTATGGCAACTTCATCTTCAGGCTCCATCTCAAAAAGTCTGTATCCAGACTTGAACCAGGGGTAGCTTCTTCGGAGCACCACTTGCCACTACGCAGCAGACCTCTTCGTGTAGCGCCTGAAGAACATTACATATTCTTCAATTGACCTCTTGGGCACCTCTGTTAACATAAGGGGAAGCGCTATGACCTGGTTTTCAGGCAGAACTGTGTCAAGGAACCTCAGTTCTGGGAAGTACACCTGCAGCCATATCTGTATCATCCAGAATGCAGCCGGAGTTGAGATATTCAGGGTGCTATCCAGAGTAGCGCTGTGGAGGTTCTTGTACAAGTGTGCCAGAACTGTGGGACCAAGCCCCACATCCGTGTGATGGTGCAGAGCCTCTGCCAGATGTCTATATTCGAGCAGAATTGCAAAGGAACGGTTTAGAAATACAAACCTGTTCAGCCAATATAGAAGGAACAACATGTGCTGTTGATCCTATCCTTCTCAGAACTGAACTTTTTCAGAAAATTGGAGAATGAGCAGTTTTGGTTGATTACCGCAAAGGAGATGGTGAACGTTTTGGCCATCTTCCCACCATTCTTTCTTCTGTGATAATCTCCGACAGCATCAACATGTCTTCCATGAGGCATGAACCCAACGATTTGGGCCATGTCCAGCAAAGTTGGGGACATTGGACCTAAGCGAAAGTCGAAGGTGTTGCTAGCAGAATTCCAGAAACATAGAGCAGCAGCTAACAGGTTCTTGTCCCTATTCACAGACTGCTTGGACAGAAGAAAGGGGAGGATGAAATCTGATTTTTGCAAGGCTTTTCAACAAAAAAGGGTAAAATTGTATTTTACTTTTCTAATTTAGACAGACCCAATGAATCGGGGCCTCCTCTTTGGCCAAATCCAAAACAAAATTTGAAAACTATGTATCAAAACCCAAAAAAAAAAAACTCTATGTCTCAAATCCTAATTAGTAAGAATTGTTATGTCTAATACCTAATTTTTCTTTTATTTTATAAATATTCATTCAAAGATTATCTCTACAAAAAATTACTTGAATCCAATATCATTTGACCACTCAATTAAATTATTGAAATTTAAGTACTTTCTTGAAGCACCCTAAACCCTTTCTTGAAGCACCGTATTCATTGATTCTGATGGTTTCAATTAGATGCCTTGATGATTTTCAATTTGCATGATTTTTTGAAAGGATGATCTCTGAATGAAGATGTGAAAAATAGATGGTTTAATATTATAACTAGTTTATACTTTTTATGAACATGAAATGTAAACCAATTATGTAGCACATTTAGGGTGCGGCCGGCACTCTGTAACACACTTTCTGCCTTTATTTGCTTGGCTCTAGCATAGGCATCCCAACTAAGATTGCAAACTCAGAATAATTAAAAAGAGAGATAAAGCTTGAAAAAATCAAGCTATAACAAAATAAATAAAACTTTCACAACAAAGGAGAGATGAAGAGTTCTTATTAAACCAAACCAAACCAGATGAATAGTATCGGATTGGTTCTAATTTGAGGCAAAAACCGGTCCAAACCGAACCGTGCCCACCCCTAGTTCTTACAAAAGAGAGGTAAAAAGCTCTCACAAAAGGATATGTGAAAACTACATAAAAAACCCAAAGAGTCTCTGCGATTTATTCCAAACATAAAGAAACCGCAATAAATATGGTGGTGGAAATCTGACGCTGAAATGCAGGTAGAGATCCAACACCGAAAGGAAGCTACAAAATTAAAATGCAAGGGCAGGACAAACAACCTTAATTAAAGATTAAAGTGCCCAAGAAGAAGATCCTGAGATCCTATCTCACGAACTACCACCACAAAAAGTCAGCTTCTGGGGGCCCTCCAGGCTGGCTTCTCTTTGTAATCTTTTCTTTTCTAAAGAAAAAAAAAACACTAAACTAAGATAGCGGTGATTGGAATCAATACATGGCATTAATTTAAGATAAGCTCAACAGCTACAGGTATGAATCAGACTCAATCAACCTTGCACGCAAGTTCTACTCAATAACAAATTTCCCATAACCTCGAGCAGCCTGAAGAACCTGCCCCAGCTACCAAGTTTCACATTGAGTGAGTACCCACCATAATTATGATCACCTCAGACTTACTATTTATATATAGACAAGGCAAATCGACCGACGTCTTTCATCATGTAGGGCCCAAAAAGGAAAAAGAAGATGGGCAAAAACTAGAGCTGGCAAACGGGTCGTTTTAGCGGGTTCCGGGTCGTTAACGGGTCAACCCGTTTTCTTAACGGGTTGACACGAACACGACCCGTTAAGTTAACGGGTGACAAATACTAGACCCAAACACGACTCGTTACAATTCGCGAATATCCGACACGACCCGTTAACCCGTTAAGAATAAACGAGAAAAAAAAATAAAAAAATCAAAGCACAGCTTCTCTATCTCTACCCCGCTAGCCAACACCTTCTCTGTCCTTTTTCCCCCAAACCCCAACCCTAACCTTTCTTCCCTCTTTCCCTTTACATTTCAATCTTCTCAGCAAAGCTCCTTCACAACAGAGGCTTCCACATAACCTTTATCAACACAGAGTTCAACCACAGGCGCTTTCTTAAGTCTCAAGGCCCCAACTCTCTTGATGGCTTGCCTGATTTTCGGTTCGAAACCATCCCCGATGGCCTTCCGGACTCAGATGAAGGTGCAACGCAAGATGTCACTTTGCTTGCTGAGGCCATTGTACAAGATGTTTTCTTGGCTCCGTTTCGTAACCTCCTCATAAAACTCAAGGACGCAGAAACTTCCAATAATAATCCTCCGGTGACTTGCATTGTTTCCGATGGTTTCATGTCGCCGTTCGCCATCAAAGCTGCCGAAGAATTTGGACTCCCTATTGCACTCTTCTTCACTATTGCTGCATGCAGCTTCATGGGATTTAAACAATTTCGCGCTTTGGTCGAAAAAGGACTTGCACCACTCAAGGGTGAGATTAATTCAGTTTGTCATTCTGTTCTCATAATTTATTTATTTTACGATTTCAAAAAACTCACAAAAAGAAGTGCAGAATGACAAAATGAAAATGAGAATAGCATCGTACCTTATATATGATCGATTATGTAACCGCTTTTTTTAAACATACCTCAAATGGATAGTTTCCCCATTTAGCTAATTATTAATTGGTTGTTAATGTAGATGAGAGCTGCTTAACGAATGGATTCTTGGACGAGGTCATAGATTGGATTCCAGGAATGGAAGGTATACGTTTAAGGAATCTCCCATCCTTCTTTCGAACCACAAATCCGGACGATGTCTTTCTTAACTTTAGCATGGTGGCAACAGATGAAGTTCATAAAGCTGCAGCACTTGTTCTTCTTACATTTGATACTTTGGAAAAAGAAGTTCTGAGTGCACTCTCATCTATGCCTAATATTCCACCTGTTTATACCATTGGCCCTATCGAATTACTTCTCAATCAGATACCAAAAGACCCTTTGAAGAACTCTGTTGGGTACAGTCTATGGAAAGAAGAAACTGAATGCCTCGAATGGCTGAACTCCAAGGCACCAAACTCAGTTGTTTATGTGAACTTTGGGAGCATAACGGTCATGACACCAAATCAACTTGTTGAGTTTGGTTGGGGACTCGCAAATAGCAAGCTTCCTTTCTTCTGGGTAATTAGGCCAGATTTGGTTGTTGGTGAATCAGCGATTTTGCCACCAGAGTTTGTATCCCCGTTTAGCCCCGCGCGATGGGTGAGTCCCTACATGACTCCACGTGGTTGCCGATGTGGATCTCCATGTGTGACCCACAAAATGGGGTCTCACGTGCGGGGGAGTGTTGAAACCAATTGTGTCCCACATCGGAGAATTGGCATGGAGATTGATAATGATGTCAAGAGAGATGAAGTAGAGAAGCTTATTAAAGAGTTCATGGAGGGAGAGAAGGGTAAGAAAATGAAAAATAAGGCCATGGAGTGGAAGAAACTGGCAGAAGAGGCAACTGGTCCTCATGGTTCTTCATCCACAGGCTTTGACAACCTAGTGAATCAAGTTCTGCTAAGGAAAAGTTAGATGTCATCCATATAAGAGCACCTAATTGGTGAGGCAATAGCTTACCAAGGTGATAGAAAAACATGTACTCTCTTAGACATTACCAAGGCCCCCCTTTTGAATTGGGCAGAACCACACTAAGGGCTACAGTGGGCTTTATTTTTATTTTACTTAAATTTACAATGTAAAAATGGAAGTACCCCATTTGAATTCAAATAAAAATACTAGAAAATTAAATTCCCACCAAATAAAAAAATAAAAAATTAGTGATAGAAACATGTAGTCTCTTATGACATTACCAAGGCAATAGCACATGTTTATTTTAACTCTCTAATAAAAATCACAATAGATGACGTTTAGTGTCAGAACAAATGATAGTCACAAATTAAATTAAAAGTGATGTTAAAGACAATCACTTACGTGAGCAGTTGCATCACATCTTTTAAACTAATATATAACTTTTTAACATTTAGTAATTGATACGTACTGATATTAACAAAATCCTCATCAAATCTACCCTTTATTTTTCTTCCTTTAGTTGTTTGACTGGTAAGATTTTTCTTTTTTAATTTCCCACCAAATAAAAAAATAAAAAATTGGTGATAGCACATGTTTATTTTAACTCTCTAATAAAAATCACAATAGTGTCGGAACAAATTAATCGCTTACGTGAGCAGTTGCATCACATCTTTTAAACTAATATGTAATTTTTTAACATTTAGTAATTGGTACATACCGATAGATGTGCGGTTAAACACTATGGCCAAAAAATAATGATATGGGTGCCGATTAATTCTCTTTTGTCCACTTATACTCCTTTATTTTTTTTAATATTTTTCATAACAACATATAATTTCCAACAAGGAAGTGTAAACACTGAGCATGATATTTGTAATTCAACTTAGCCCACTACATAACGCAAATAAAAAAAAATAAAAAATAAAAAAGCATTCATCAATTTAGCCCAAAGCCCAATTATTTCTAATCCATTCAACTTTTTTTTAAATATAATCAAGAGTCCATACTACAAGAGAGAAGGAAGTTTCTCACACATGTTATCAAATGTCATAGGGTTCGAACTTAAAACCACTGGTGTTGGTCTGCAAATCAAGTGACTTTTTCACTGAGAATATATTTGTATGCTCTCATATTAACAAAATCCTCATCCGCCACCACAAATCTACCCTCTATTTTTCTACCTCTGATGCACCATCGGACTACGCACTCCATTTAGTTGTTTGACTGGTAAGATTTTTCTTCTTCCTTTTTTTCGCTTTTTTAATTTTGACGTTCTCCTACATTTTCTTATCTTGGCGGCGTTCAAGACAAGTAATCGATACTTGTTGTCAATACTTTATAATTTGACTACCCATACCCGAATATGCGTACCCGAAGCAAATAATAAAAATAATAATGCAACATGTATTCAATTTGATCTTGGCCACTCCACCACTTTAAGAGAGATTACATAAGCAACAAACACATACACATAATCTACATAAGCAGTAAACACAAACACAAAATATAATCTTAAGCCAGATGGGTTCCAAGGCAGCAGCTAAAAAACCTCATGTTGTTTGTGTTCCAGCTCCAACTCAAAGTCATATAAAGGCAAACCTCAAATTTGCAAAGCTCCTCCACAATAGAGGTGTTCATGTAGAATAAACTAAAAACTCACGGCAGCTAACTCAAGACAAGCAAACCAAATAACACAGCAAGCAAGTAAAAACTCACAGACACGGAAGAGAATAGAAGGAAGAAGACTCTAGCTTACTGCTAGCCGAGTTCACATTCAATAATAATAGATTTTACTACAACTCTCTCATTACAAAACAAGAGACCAACGTCTCTTTGAGAGACAAACTTTTAGTCAAAAGAGAAAAGTTGCCTAGAGGACATCAACCGACATCATGCCTATTGGGTAAAACAAAATACCCTATTGAGTTAATAAACAAAGCCAAGTCTAGCCGACAGCATGCTCACATGCTTTTACAAAATAATAGATAAAGTAGCTTTGGATTCCTGCTTGGTTTAACTTTCAACAGCCTCCCTTAAACCAAGCTCATCATAACTCTCCATTCCCATCATCTTCTTCAGCTTCATGAACGCATCCATCCTGAGACCCTTTGTAAATATATCTGCAATCTGTTCTCCAGTTGGACAATATTGGACTTCAACCACCTTGTCATTTACCAAATCCCGAATGTAGTGGAACTTCACAGGTATATGTTTAGTCCTCCCATGAAAAACAGGATTCCTTGCCAATGCAATCGCTGAATTATTGTCACAATAAATTGTTGTGGGGCTCTTCTGTTCATGATGAAGATCACCAAGTAATTGGCGCAACCATACTGCTTGTGTAGCAGAATTTGTGGCTGCAATATACTCTGCTTCAGTAGATGAAAGGGCCACAACTTGCTGCTTCTTTGATGACCAAGAAATCATTCCAGAACCAATATGAAATGCATAGCCTGAAGTACTTTTTGCACTATCAACATCACCAGCCCAGTCACTGTCCGTGTATCCTACCAGCTTCACAGGACAATTAGCTGAATAGAAAATACCATCACTTTGAGTTCCTTTGACATATCTCA